CTAAATATTTAATTATTTTTAATATAAATAATATTTGTGTATTATCATTATTTAACTTGCAGAGTATATATAGAATAAATATAAATTTTTTTTTTCTTTTTCTATGAAATTATTGACGATAAATACAATTTAAAAATTAAACAACCAAAATTCTGTAAAATTTGGTTTCTGTTATTTGCATTTACAGAATTGCAAATTTTCGTAAATATCCTTTGTTATATTACTGCATGTAAACACAATGGATGAGGGCGATACAGTCAAGAATAATGTAACCACGAATGCTTTGTTCTGTATAGTGATACTTTTATTGCAGACGTCAATGTAATTGCACATTCGTACAAACAATGTACAAAGAACAGTAATCCCAGATAGAAATTCTTTCGTTATTATTACTATATAATAACATATTTTTTAGTTTCCATAATTCTAAACTTTGCATATATTCTATGTATTTTACGTGATAAAGTTCACAGTTTTTTATTCAATATTTCATATAATGATGCATTATACTAAGTTTAACATTAAATATTAAATTTTATAATTTTGTATGTTCTGAATAAAGTGGACACTGAGACTGGCCATTGGAATGCAAAGGGTTAATACATTTGTATATGATACGAAATTATAAAATTTGAAATCTAAAATACGATTAGAATATCTCGAACGAATATTGAAATGGCAAATTTATCAGTTAAAAGTAACTCACTGTGGATTCATCGATAAAATAATTGCTCTGCGATAAAAAAAAGGACTTCCTTCGATCATCGACGAGACACATCGGCAAACCGCATCTCGAAATTGCAATTGGATCGAATTTGTCTGCGCTGACCGCATGACCGCATCCCCACAACCACGGAAATTGAGCTATTATTGAAGTATTGCTCTCGAAAGCAATGTTAATTACGGTAAAGACGCCGTAACAGCATCGTTAATTTAGTTCAGTGATTATTTTCTACCCTCCCGATGTTATTTTTACATACTTCCGACATAACGTTGCATTCATTTTTCAGAGATATTATTAAAACTTCTACTTCAAATGAAAACTGAGATTTAACACTTTGCACTCGAGAAGCAACTCAACGGTCGCCATTTGATTTGACATAGAAAAGTTACTTCCATCCTTTATTTCGTGTATTATTTCTATTTAATACGGTTAAAAATTGAATCAACATTTCGTTAACCCTATTGTTCCTAGAAAAATTCATGTTCGTTTAGATCTTGGAATTTAGAGATTTAAAAATACGCTATTAGAATACATACTCGTATAATTGCATCAATCAAAATCGATAAAAACATTGTCAAGTAATATTTATAAAATTCAATTCAAAGAGTTGAATTCTTGATGTGCATAAAAAAAGGATTGAAGTGCATGTTTCAAGTTTTTTTCCAGACATGCATCACATGAAACATTCAAGATGGCCCCCGGAATGCACTTGGTCGAAGAATTCGGTCCAACTTTGACCGAAGCTATTTTTATTTTGTACTTTGTCACCTCAATCCCTTCTAACTTTCTTTCGAGACACCTAGTAAGAAATTGAGAAATTTTCTTGTTGATAGAAAGAGAAACATCAACCAAAACGATCGAAACCAAAATTCCTTTTGGTGTATCCAATTTGATCAAATTGGGAAAAAAGAGAAACAACATTGTCTCATATTCTAATACTGTATATGATATTCGAACCATGTTATTCATATGAAATAATAAATTTAAATTAGTTGACAGGAATATTTGAAGATATGGAACTCGTACATTCTCATACGTTCTGCTTAAACGTTCTGCTTCCAAATAAATTAGATTGCTCGTGAGAATTTGTTAGGCTATGAAGTATATCAATCTATAGTATTGATTACCTCAATATCAAACTGTTGGATTGAGTATTTTGATTGATTTCATGAAATCTAGCAAAGCGTTCATTCTATTTCAAACAGAACAAAATCCATAATAAAAAAAATAAATTTCTATACAATTTATATTTCTAAAAACGTATTTCTATAATCATATCACAATTCAACGAAGAAGATATTAGTCTCTTATATTTCATTACATTAGGCACACAAGTGGTCTCATTCAAATTGAAATTACTCTTACTAATTAAACATTAATTAATCAATTGTTAGAAATTACTCTTATAAATTACCAAATATCTAATAACCAATGGCTCTAGATAAAATATAATCAATATTTTTACTGCACGACTCGCAATAAAATAATGACCTAAAATCCAATTCCATGCACAATATATATATATATATATTCGGATACATTCATGTCATTTGCACACTTTCTATAACATTCTTGTGTCACCATAAATTAGCTTCACGTACATTTGGAATCTTCTAGATTCATTTTTCATAAACATCATTAACACGTTGAACGCTACATAATTTTACGTAGAAAAATATGCAAAATGAAGAAGACATAATATTAAATTATTTCATTGAATCGTTTTATTATTATTACACGTTTAACTTGCCGAATGTCACCGCATTAGGTAGCAGTATTTATAATATAAAAATGTTTGCAAATAATCATCGTTTAATTGATTGAATTATAATAATTCAATTCAGTTGGGGGAAACCAGTGACTCCCATGGCATTCCACGAGTTAACACATAAAGATCAATATTACAGAAAATTAATTTAGTTCAGAATATTCCAATGTTTTGAACATTTATTCAAAATACATGCACACTAGTTCATCAGCACACCCATTCCCACATAACTCACGAGCATAATTCTGATAAAGTTCAGAGAGAACATTTCAGGCGATTGCCCGCGGAATGATACACGGAAGTTGGCAAGTTTGAAAGACCGTTTAGATGTCTCTGCCGAGGAACTTGCAGCAGATTTTCTTTATCCTTTTTTCCCCTTCTTCTCAAGCTTGAGGTTCATTTTAATCTCTCGACTGATAAGCCGAGAGTTTTACCAACGAAGTAATGCAGCGCCTTCTTTCATGCAATCCCGTAGGAATAAACAACGGCAATATCTTAGAGTGTTTTATCTATCCCCACAGCGTTTTACTTCGCGAGAATTTGTATTCGACTCCGTTCAAGTTTGTCCAAAGGGACGGAGGCTTCTTAAAGACTGCTATTACCTTAATTTGTATTAGTTTCTTGCATAAGTTTTTGCTGATTTTCTACTCTTTAAAGCGTGTTCAGGCTATCTCATCAATTTTCTTCATTTTAACATTAAAACTACCAAATAAGTAGAGCAAATTTATAATTTTTTATAAAAATGAAAACATTACGTCTTTTAAATTTAATTAAAAAGTCTCGCAGAAATGGCTTTATAATTTAAATTATTTTATTTTGACCCATCTGCAAATTTGAGTGTTAACTACGTATATGACTTATGGTTATATACTTTATTTAATTTATTTTTTTATTTATTCTTTTATTTATTTAAATATTAAGTTAAAAAATTCCTCGGTTAACAATGAATGTATCGATATTTTGTGTATACCTATACCTAATGTAACTAGTCAAATAACTAGTTATCAAATAAAGGTAAACAAGTTAAACGATACATTTTTCTGATTGCACGTTGGAACAGAAGGAAAAACAGAGTTTGAAAAAATGATTAATCGGATAATACGGGAACTGATTTAATGTTAAATGAATGAAGAAAAACGGAATTTTGGTTAAATTTTAAAACTGATCATTTAACTGTTTGCGGTACGTTTAGTGTTAATATATATAATATTGTAATATTTTAGACAATATCCTTTTGTACAGACGATGACATAAAAATTTAACCTCAAATATAAAGTTCGCGAGAGAACTAATTTGTTTAGTGATGCTGTTACTATTTATGAATTAAATAAATACCGAAAGTTAATAATTTTACTACATTTTTTAACGGTATTAAAACGACATTTGTGTTTTGTGACAGTGTATCTGTGGTAATCTTTAAGGTTTAGTACTGTAATTGCAATATTTCTATAGCTTTTCTTTAAATAAAATTTTTTTCTTTTATATATCACACAATAAATAAATGCGTTTAATCTATTTAATTCTAATACTTTGGTGAGTTTAATGATAAATAATGTTTCAGGTATTAATGAAGATATTACAAATACACTGTTGCTATAATTTAAACTACTCAGTTTTTGTCATGTAACTATGAACAATACTTTGTATATAAAACTTGTTGAATATTTTAATTAGTCGATATCAATCCTCTATTCGTTAAAGGATCTTCATTGTTCCACTAGAAACAATTAAAGATTGCGCCCAAAGGAACAAGGGATTGACTGAACAAGGGCCAACTGATCCGAACGCTTAAATTGCTTCCGCGATATTGTTTCGTTTGTTTGAAATTCAATTATCTCGATTTTGACTCCTTGAGGGAGTCCGACTTTGCTCCTTATACAGAGTACAATGCTACCTCCAGAATCGAAGATACATTCAGTCTCATACAAATGATTAAGCTTGGCTTAAAAGCTTTTGTGTTGTAAATTGGTTATAAGACTTCGTCACACAATAGTATCAATTTACTTAGTATTATACTATTCTCTGATTATATTTATTAAATATCATTATTGATTCTGTGAATCTCCCTGGATTTATATATTAAATCATTAGAATATTAAATAAATTACGAAATTCCAAAATTAAGTAGGTCATACAATTTATAAATAATTAGCAACAGTTTAATGATCACTTTTGGATTTCCTCAAATTAATTACGAGAAATACGTTAATTTTAATTGTTGCAGATTGTACGATTTTAAATTATGGAGAATTTATTAATGAAATATTGAAGATATAATTATGTAGTATTTGGTGGTACTATATCTATATAAAAAATTATATTATTTGCGCCATTAATTCTAATGTATTTTTTAAAATATTCAAAAGTAACACAATTTGTTAACAACAAAAGTTTCAATAAGGTATTCGAAATAAAATTGAGAATTACCAATCATAAGTGTATTATAATTAGTTATATTATAACAGTTATATTTATAACTATATTATAAAAATTATTTGAAATATTTACCTTGTGCTCGGGAGTGTCATAAGCAAGATTGTCAACACCAGTCATCGTTCTTCTGAAAAATAAGTAAACTACGTATGTACATATAATACTAATAACATAATACTAAATGATATCACATAAATGTCTCGCGCATTTCCGGGTATATAAGAAAGAAAACAGTTTATTATGTTTACACAAATTTTTCCATTTAATTGGTTCCATCCAACTAATCCACCTGTACAATTGAATTGATTAAATTTCATTTCTCAAAATTATTTCTTTTCCAAAATGAAGTAGAATATATTTAAAAAAATTAAATGTTAAATATCTTTATAAATATCGAATTTTATTAAAATGGTCGAATATGGGTCAGCCTATTTTTTCTCTAGATACATTAAAAAAGGTTTTATCAAAATCGATGATCCAGTTACTGTAACGTCTCCCTGTAAGTGTTAACTTTTTAAAATAAAATGTGTGTACAAAACCGTATTATTTATGGGATAACCCAATACCTTCAGACCCTCTCCATTTTTTGGTATCTTCTGATTTTTGTAAACTTTAATGGAATAAATAATATTCTTTTTAGTTATTAAATGATTTACTCCTTTCTTCGTTTCTTGTAGATCAGAAAGTCGTTCTTATAGCTTCCGAATATGTTGTATAATAATTTCAGAAACGAAAACATTAATTTCCTCAATTTTTCTTTTCTGAACTTAACCGCATTACTTCTGAGCGACTCATATGCAAGTCTGCCGCAGCATCCGCACTACGAAGACGAATTCAATGCATTCTTCAAACCGTAAGACAATCGTCGAGTGCGAACGAACCATAATAGAGTTGATATAACAATCACACTAACAAGGTAATAGATGCCCCAGTTAAATTATTATGCACGATAAGTGGAATGTCTTCGGACATACCGTCTTCAGACGAATTTCAGAGCTTCTTATCCTTCTAAAGAAGAAAGTGAAGAAAACACTGCAGATTTCAGGGATTTTACAACGTAAATAATTATCTGAGCATGTGGTAGGTAAAAATAGAAGTTTCATAAAATATGACCAATACTATATTTAGTATACGAATGTTTTTTTTATTGTACTTATTGAAATTAATAAAACTATTCCATTAAAATCGAAGGAAACTGTGAATAATTATTAAATGGAGTTACAGCTTGAGAATTCTTCCAAAAATTGATTAACTGTTTAAAACACGGTTTGAATGATTTTTTTATTCTTGTTCTGGGTGTTACGATTGATTTCCTTAACTTTGTATATTTACTTATACACTTGTATCATAGAAAAGTCTTTAATCATTATCATGTACAAGTTTTAACGATATTTTAATCTAGTATAATTTCCAAACGTGTTTAAATGATCTGTTTCATATTTATTTTGTCATAATAATTTATTAAAAAGATGAAGATTATTTTCTGAAAAGTAATTGACAAGACAAAGATTGTTTTCTGAAAAAGGATTAAAGAAAATGATGTAGGTACTTATGCACACGTTAATGTATTATGTACATAACATAACTTATTATAATTTATAATATCTATGTAACTATCGATAATTTTGGGAATTTCTAAGCATTTTCTACTAGAGATAGAAGTACGATAGTCAATAATAAGGCCACAGGACAAGGTAATATGTGTAAGAAGAAACTTTCACTTTTGCTGGCGTGCTTGAGTGTTCACTACGATATCCAGTAATACTAGGCTGATACACGATGCAACTGTGTGTATCAGACAGTGAACAAGCAAGCAAGAGTTTCGTGTCCTATAATTTGTTTTGAACTTTAATTACATGCTCCGCGTATATAGACGCGCATGTGCAATCTCAGTACCATGTTTCCGGAACGAGAAGTATGAATATACATATTATTCTCTACTTTAGTCCTCCTTCCCTTGAAGAGATGTGTAATTATCTACATCGAATTTTATGACAGTCTCTACAATGCAAAAAGGACAAAATTTTTGTTAAATTTTTCGAATGAATTTCGAAAACTTGTAAGATATATAGAATTTGTTTTTCTTTTAATGAATTATTAATGAGAAAGTAACTCTAGTGACCATTATCACAAAAACAATTATAAATTAAAGAATTAATACCTAATAATACATTGCAACCTTTATAATAACTTTTAAAAAATTGTGCATTTTATCTTATTTTTGTCTATTAATTGTCAAATGTCGAAGTTTATAACTTCAATTACCTGGAATTACAAATATTGAATTAAATTTTTTTCTATTCTTGAATTGTTAATTTAAAGAGCCTTGAAGATTTTAATTTAATTATTAAAAGATTTAAGCAGTTTACATGGCTTACACATCCACAAAATATGTACAATAAATACTCGTTTCTGCAAGAGAAATAATAAGTTTGATACTTCACTAAACTTTATGCTGCACCAAATTTTATACTGCAAAATGTTGATCCTGTTTAATTGTCATGTTTACAAGTTCAGAAAAACAAATAATAAAACAGGAAATGTATATACTAAACAAGCGAATACCATATTTCGTTATCGATATGTAATTAAAATGACTCCCATGTAACAATTTAATCATTATTGAACATACTACAATATGTTAACGTTTCGGTATCGTTTCATCTTCATTTACAGATAATTATCAATAGCTATCCGACGTTAACAAGAACGACACCACCGCAAGTTAACCGCAACTAAGCTTTTGATGTCGATAGTAGTATCGAACCGATTATTCCATAAAATTATCCGCGGTAATTGTCGTTTGCTGCGTTAGATATTTTATTACCGAGACAAGGAAACTCGCATACACGTGCTTTATCGCGAACTGTTGGCACCATTCAAGCTGCAGAAGGCTTGCTGACAGGATGCTTTGTTTATCTTCGCACATTTCGTGACATCCTTGCCATCTGATTATTTTATATTATGTATACGTAACACGCTGTCAAAGCTGACATCATGAAAGTTTATTGGTTTTGTTGAACTTGACGATTATTTTACGATACTGATCGTTTGTCTTCTAATCCTTATACAAATATAGATTTCCTTGGTATGTTTTCAATAAAAATATTTAATAAAAACATTTAACGTAATTTATTTTATATTATCTTTCAATTTCAAGCAAAAATCAAATATTTTGGGAATAAAGAACGTTGTCCTAATAAGATAAATACGTTATAAGTGGCTCACGAATCACTTAAAACTATTTTTCTTAGCGTGATTAACAATCAATATTGTTTTCTCCTCTATCATTCAATGCAATCGCAGTTACTACGTGCGAAAGATCTATCAATTATCTTTAAAAAAATGAATTTTTAAATAGTCTTTTTAATTTTAAATAATAGATAATGTTCACGTTATTGAAAGGTCATAAACTTTGTTTCGAATCATTCTTTAGATAATATAACATGAAAAACAAACGAAGAACAACAGGAATACAAACATTTACGAGTAAAAAAAATCCGACGTTTCATATTACACAATCTAATAAAAGGTTAGACATTTCTGTTCTAAAATTGATTAGATATTTACCGTTTACTAGAGATGTCCTACAAATTCCAAGGAATTTCAGCGGTTAACGATGCGTCGAAGTCCACACAGGTGACATAATTGCGCAAGAACCGATCTGGTCACGTGACGATTTCGAAGACCACCATGACATTCATAATGCTCCTTGAATTTTCAGAGTGCTTGTTAAGGCGGTAGGCAAATGTGATTGAAATTACCGCAATGATGGTTAATTACAGCACATGCCCGCCACGAGGCAGATTGCCTCGTTAATTAATTCGCAGTCCGTTACGTTTCCTCTTCTTTCTCCGGTGATACTGTTAATTAACCGGGCCGACACCAAGACGTTTCGTAATTGGTGGGTCTCGGTCGCGATCACGCTACCTACGTCTTTTTAAGTGATCCGCAGTTAATTTCCCCGCCGATTCGATGTCCCATTGGCCGAGACGGAATCGGATTTCGCAGTCGGCACCATTTTTTCGCCGTTGGAAGCCATCTTGACCTGTCAGATTGCCATCGAGTTTGATTTTTCTTCTTCTTAATTCATCTTTTCTTCTGCTTTTTTGTTTAATCTTCTTTTAATTTTGAACAACCAGTAATATAGTGTGTTTATAATATTTTAATAATGCTATAATATAAGTATAATATTTTATAATAACATTTTATAATGTTAACTGAATAATAGAAAAATATTTTATAATATTTTATAATAACATTCTATAATATTAATAGAATAATGGAATCATATTCTATAATATTGTATAATAACTGTAATATTTTCGTAAATATTGAAGATTCTTAGCTGGAACTTTTAAGATATAAAATGAAACACAAGATACTTCCTTGTAATTTTGGCTTTTCGTTGAGTACTTTCTGCTTCTACTTTCATTATAATAGAAATGTATATTGAATCTAGTGTTAAACAGCCTAAAACGCCCTTTTAAGCAAGTAATGAATACTATTATGTAGTCAACATGAACGATCGTAGGCTATAAATCACTAGCCAAGAACTTCATTTAATTATTCATATTTTTGCTGGCCTAGCATCCTCATTTGTAACAACTGAAAAGTAGAATCTAGCCTTGAAGGAGACCGCGTTACATTTTACACGGAAATATCTATTTAAGGGTGAGGGTCACGGGACCAATCGATCATGATTCTCTACACTGTTCTAGATCAGCAACACGTTGACTCACATTGTAAACATTAAATTAGTATATAGAAAATTTTGATTTTTTCCTATTCAGTTAATCATTCGTTAACGCACTGACTTTTTATTAATAAATTTTTGCACATATAATAAAAGATTTATGAACATTCTCTATGAACAGTTGATAATTACCGAAAACTATTTTTATGATTTACTGTACAATACACGCAATTAAAATTGATCATCTATTGTTGCAGAAATTACAATAGAATCTGATTCAGAAATGGTTGGAGCTATCGTTCAAGGTAATCATCGTTATAAAACATAGTAAATGTAAACAAGCACAAAAACTAAATTGACATCGTATATTCAGTTTTCAGTTTTACAGTTTTTTAGATGATCCTTTTTTTATTGAAACATGTAAACTAAGTTCAAAATAACTTCAATCGTTATTCTATAAATTTATGTATTTTGTAATATTTAATAGTTTAGTATTTATTTATTAGATTCGATTACCGTTATTCTTGGATATTCAGATCATTAAAGCCAGTTACTTATTATTCATTTGTTTTGTTACGACGGAAATTACAGCAGAATATTAAACCAATTCCGTTTTAATACACTTCAGGAAATTAATTTGCAAAAAAAGGTACTTTGTATCCACTAGAGAATGCTTTCCTTCTTTAAAATTAGATATACATCATTATAATAGTAACTAACTAAATATTTCCTTTATTTCACTGTAATAGACGAATTGTCACTGTATCACAGTTCCAAATTAACACTTGATCTTGCACCGAGCACACCGAGTCCCACAGACTAACTAAAGTCAACAGCCAATGAGACAGTCGAATCGAGACTGTGAGTATAAACGTGTACAATCGTTGACAGTTTCGGGATAATGACATGCCACGTGATTAACCTTCCTGGATTCTGGTATTCGTGGAGGGAGAACCTTTACCTCTAGATACTGATTCTATGTGTAAATATAGCACACTATCCTTAACCAAAGTAGATGTCGTTCTTAAAATAAGTTGACAGTCTATTTTTTAGACAGCATTCAAATCAATTTTGTAGTTGCTTCTATAATGAACTATTCTATTATGAAAGGTAATTAAATTTAATCGTAGAAAAGAAGATAGATTGTGTAAATTAAATAAATATATATTTTAAGTATAATTTTACTTTTAACTATTACGTGGTCAAATAGGGAAAAATGAATGGCGCAGAGAGGGATAAATAAAAATGTTCACTGCAAGATGTTTTCACAATTTTTAACATACTGATTTTTCAAAGATTGTTATTAACGTTTAACATATCGAGTGAAAACACAGCAAACTCTCCCAACAAAGATTAAATAGTAGAACTATTTTTCTATTATTATACTTGTTATACTGTTATGTTTAAAATAGAACATATATGTACAATTATTTTTAGAAATTAAAGTTGCATAAATATACACATACATACGTACTGTTTGTAAACTACTAATTTATAATGACTGAAAAATTACCTTTCCAAACAATAATACAAAGAAAACAAAATGCGGATTTTTAATTTTATATTTCCTGCAATTTAAAATTGTATAAGCAGAAATTTATGAAAATCCATTTCTCTGGATTATTATAAAGGATCATAAATTACCTTTCTATACAGCGAGATTAATTTAGGTCGAATCACTGATTTCACACCCAAATTGAAACATCATTTTATATGTTTTGAAAATTTCTAAATTAATTTTACATGAATATTTTATACACGGTATTTTACACTTTTTAAATGATACATTTCCTTAGATATATTTTAATATTAACCCAATATAACTCACAATTATAAATATCCAAACATGTATACAAAGCTTGAATAAAAATTTACAATTTGTTATATTTCATTCACTAAATTTTCATATTCACGTGACAAGTATGGAATAAAAATGAATAATTAACAGAAATTATTATAAATTATTATAAACGTTCTAAAATTTCAATACAATAAATAATTTTTAGAAAACGCAAAAATATTCACAAATATAATAATGCAATAAACAATATTAAATAATAATATTTATTTTTGTCTTATTACAATTATATTTTTCATAGATTAATACGATTGATTGCGATCATTCTAATTCATAAATTGTTGATTTATCTCTATCATTTTACGCGTAGTATGAGATCACAAAATATGTATTACTTTCACGGCAATATTCTCCCAAACAGCGCGAGTGACATAATAAAATCGAGTTTATCTCGAGATTGTTTGAAAAGTATTTAGAATCGCGCGCTGTTGGCACATTACCAACCACACCGTGATCTCTGCTCACATGAAGAGACATTTTCACGTATTTGTGTTTACACGTGTGCACACCGAACAATACAGGTTCGAGATAAACTAGAAGCGATTTAATCGTACATTTTATTGTTCATTATTTGCGTGACCGAATGGAACTGCTGGCATCATGTACGATACAGGCAGTTCCATTAAACATGGCCGAATAAAATATTATTTTCGATCTTCTTCTTAAATTTCGGATATCGACATTCGTCCATACAAATCACGAAATAGGGTTATAACTAGATTTTTATAAATTTAACACTATATTTACGGAATTTTTTAAACATTATTTGGTAACAGTTTAAGTCGATTTTAATTGGTGTAATTATGCGAATACACATTATAATTCTCTGTCCTTGTAGCAATTATTTTCGTGATATATATATATATATATTAATTTATAATTAATTTGACTTAATATAAACGTTATTTAAGGTTCCTTCAAACTGTGCTGTATCGCGTTCCGTTATTCATTCGGCCGTCCTTATACATATATATATATATAATTGTTAGACGTAATAGGTCTAATATTAAAATTTTATGTATATTTACATATTTCTATGTATATTCTGTGACATAATCATTTTCAAACATTTTACATTCAAAGAAATCAAAATAAACCAAAATGAAAAGTAAACAATAAATCGAACAGAATTTAATTTATTTTATATATTCCTTATTACTTATTGTTTATAAAAAAAATGTTTCACTACTCCATCTGTTTATTTGGAAGTACTGGAGCGTATATACACAATAATATAACATTAATTATCAACTTTGATAAACAATGATCATGCGTTTTCTTGAAGACATTAAGCTACCAAGCACCAATCAAAGGAGATTAAGTTGTCTTGCCACTTTTTAATTGTTCTGGTAATATCACACGTGACGCTGAGTAATTTTTGTAGCCCAGAGACGCCATATTACTTTAATTGTTCTGCTTCGTGGAAACGGTGTAATTCTACATTCTTACGAGACACGGTTTTAATTACGCGTTCGAGTAATCAGTCGAACATGTTTCATTAAAAACTACAATTTTCTAACAATATTTCAAACAACATTACTAATCGTTAACATCAAATTTACCATTCAACTACAATCACTAACAAAGATAACAATAAAACTTCAATTATTTAAAAATATACAACGAGACTTAGTGTATTAACAGTTTACTGGGAGTATAATTAATATATTTAATTACTTAGCACTCAACTCTTCATTTTCGATCTAAAGTCTCAGCAGCTCTATAAATCTTCTTCATTAAATGATAATGTTATTATTACACTACGGATTTCTTTGCATTTATAAGACATTTAAAAGTGTAAAATTGTGCAAAATGGACCCAATCTAAAAAAGCATATAAACTATCCAAACTATAGTGCTTTTTATAATATTTCCTAGGGAAAATCATTTTCCATCTAATTCTACCCCTGTAATTATGTTTTTAAAAATTTTAATTTGCATAAAAATTCACAGTTTAGATATTATATTCAACACAAATCAAGTTTTAGTAATGTTGTTTATTGCAAAATACACGTGAAACAGGTTTAAAAGCCTGTTTATGAAGGAAATATCAAAATTTTACCATGGGTGAAGAGAAAATTGAGATTCTCTCAGATTCACCCCTTCAGGGTTAAATATGATGCACAGTTGTTTGACTATGTTAATAATTTTCAGCGACGTGCTTACTTTATTCTGAATATCGTTAATTTTATAATTAATTTGACTTAATATAAACGTTATCTAAGGTTCCTTCAAACTGTGCTGTATCGCGTTCCGTTATTCATTCGGCCGTCCTTATACATTATTCAAAAAGGTACCCAAGCAAATTAATTACGATCATTCCTTATAACCGATTAAAGCTGATAAAACACGATAATTGAATCCTAATGGCCTGCTTGTTTAAAAAAACAATCAAATTCTGTGAGGTTTTATTTTTCTGCGATGAATATTACTTTCTATAGAACTTTTTATATGCGATTAATATTTTGACTAGTTTGTAACAGTACTACAAACGTAGATTATGGGAAAATCAAACGTTATATACATATGGTAGGCCAAAGTGAATCGGATCGCCTTTTTTTGGACAGTAAAGAAATAAAAATACTTAAACATTAACGATAAAAGGTGAAAAAAATTTTTTAAGTTTTACTTCTTCAAATTAGAAACAAGAAATAAGAATTCTGATTTCTCAGAAGGTTTCTGAAAAAGATTGTTATTTCCATCCGATTCATCTTGGTCTATTCTATTCTAAATTTAAATACGTTTAACTATGCCAAAGTAAAAGTACATATATTCTCCAATCGTTAATTAATGATTTGAATTTTTGAAATTCAGTGGATTTAAAGATTTAATAAATTTTAGTAGCTTTGCTAATTTTATTTTAAATTTGATAGAATGCTTAGAATTATGGTAAACTATATCTACAGATTTTTCTTTGGTTCCAGTTTCTTTAAATTAAAATAAATCTATATATGCATCAAAATTCGAGGTTTATATTAACTCTTTGCCTTAAAATACCATACGATACTCATGAAGAAGATTTCGGGTAGTGTTTAGCAAACATAAATGTTATTCGATTCATTTGAGTGAAAATTAAATATGACTATTTTCTTATCGATTGTTATTCTGAAAAATACATTGCTTCTATTTTATTAAGTTGTCAACGACAAATTAATAACACAGCAAGGGGTTAATAAGTTAGAAGTCAATAAAAATGATTAAAGTAAATAATTTTTATTAATAATGATTAATAAACTATTAAATTAGTAAATAATTATAAATAATTTTCAAAGTAAATAATTAGTATCAATACTCAAATGAATAATTATCAGAGTTAAGAATCAATGGAATTAAATAATCATGACGATTACAATCGTCTACAAAAGTTATCATCACCGTTATTATTAATATTAACGAAAAGAAACTTTCAACGAAATAAACAGTTAAATAAACCACTAAATGGCATAAAAGTACACAATATAAGTAATAAACAGAAGAAGAACGAAGAGCTAAAGACCGACCTGAAACCAATCGAGTCACCTCCAGATCATGCAAGTGTTATCCTTGCTCGCGGTGATGACGGTGTCGCCATTGTATGAAAACGCACAGCTGAAAACATCGTCGGTGTGACCATCGAGTGTTTGCACGCAGCAGCCATTTTCCACGGACCACAATCTCGATGTTCTGTCCATAGACGAAGTCAGTAAATGTTGACCGTTCGGACTGAAACAGACTGAACTCATTCGTTGATCAGTGTCCCGCTGTTATCAAACGAACTATATATACCGTGAAGTACGTTTTGAAGTTGAATATCTATTTTGAATCAACGTTTAATCTTTTGCAGGTCATTAACCCCTTGCCCTACGATTTATTTCTTAACTATAATCGATGCAGGTACTTTATCGTAAATAATTTAAAGGTTAACGACTGACGATGAAAAATTATTGTTTAATTTATATTTTAAGGAATTACATAATGTTTAGTTTTGTCAAATTCAATTTAACATTTTCGTCACGAGTCTAACACGTTGTTACAGGAGAAGGGGTTAATATTACACTGTTTCAATTCAAAAGTACTATTAATGTAATAAAAGAGTATTAATAATATTAAATATATTAAATAATATTATTACGTCTGATACCATTACATGTAAATAACATTAAACAAACATATTGAAATGTTAATAATATTTCTGCATTTATATTTTTAATAGCACAGTGTATATTTCCTTTTCAAAAGAATATTATTCCTACCTTTGGACACCTCCTCGTTATGTCCCTCCATTACTGCCAGCTGCTGGAAATCGCTGGTCACATCCCAAACGCGTGCTGTTGCATCGCTGCTCGCGGTTGCCAACTTTTTCCCGTTGTTGTCGAAGGTCAGGTCCAGGACCTCGTCGTCGTGTCCCCGCAGAGTGGCCAGACAGGAATGCATCCTAGTATCCCAGACCTTTGCCGTCTTGTCCATAGACGACGACGCGATCAACGAGCAATCGAAATTGTAAATGCAATTGGATAGTTCGGATCGATGGCCGATCAATACGCTCACCCGTCTAAAGCAATAATAATATTAAAAAGGAAACTTCACTTGTAAACGCAATAATAAGAGTATATTTGTTAAAGCAATAATAACAGTGAAAAAGAGGCTTTACCTGTTAACCGAAAACGAAGAAATAACACATTTAACACTAAACGCATTGCTACTGGTCAAATGACCAGTTTCAAAACTTGATTTAACAAGTCCACGACCAGCGTCGTGACATATTATTTAGTGGGAAGTTGTTTAATTCAATTGTACAGTAATATCTCTAGTAATGCCATCATAATTATATTCATTGAAATGTAAATATGATTTTTAATGGTGGAAAAATCACTTTGTGAATAGGTTGATAAATAAAATAAAGTAACGCGAACAAATGATATTTAATATGTTGACGTAGATTAAAATTCTTTTGAATTCTTGTAATAAAAAAGAAGTTTCTAAAGTAGAAAATAAAGCAATAAATCTTTACATCTAAAAATATTTACATATATTATCTCATACTCGTGCTTGGTATAAATGCATAAAAACCCGCAGTATAGTAATAAATAAACCAGGAAGAAACAAATGGACTGTGTACTTTCATATAAATTAAAATTTGTTATAATAAGAATTTATTCGTTATCAATTTTACTTATAAAAAATAACAAATTATATAGTATTCTAATTTGTTCATTTCTGTATTATTAAAATAATTCGAGAATTATTAACTATTTATTCTCGTCTTGATTACTGACTTATTGGTTAAAAGCAGTGTGAATAATATATGATCATAGGATACTGTTACTATTAATAACGTAATCAATGAAGGAAATAAAAACTTTCACGAATGTATAAATAGTGTAAATAATGTATAATGTTAATTAATCGATCTTTATTTAATTTCAATTAAGAAATTAATATTCTCAGTTAGTTTAAACGTACGTAAAGATCCGAGTGTCCCAAATACTGACGGTGCCGTCGAAAGACGCCGTAATTACTTGATTGCCATTGTTATTGAAGCAGAGCGCGATTACTTCTGCTGTATGACCCTTCAACATCCCCTCTTCCTCACCTGTCGCACCGTCAAATGGAATGGAATGTTAATTACCAAGATTGAAATTATTCTTCGTATAGCATTTTAAATCATATATCATAAAATGCGTATTATAATTATTATTAAACTGCAGACTGTATGTATTTATAAACGTCTATTTAAAACTTAACTCCTTGCTGTATAATTTTCTTTTGTTACAAAGATTGTTTATCATTATACTAACAACAATTTGCAAGAAACGTAAAGAAATTTTTCATTTCATTGTAAGCACTGATTTACTATAAAGGTAATGAATTGTTCATAGAAAAATTATTTTTCACTTTAACCAACGCGCAATGAATAACATTGCTTTTTATTCAATTAATCTGGAAATCTTTATCACGAATCTGAGTTATAATTATACGGCAAAGAATTAATATAATAAGATATTTATTAAAGATTGGTTAGTTTTTCGTTTAACTTTGAATTTAACAGATCCTTTAACCTTTACTTTTAACAGCTAAGAAATTGTTGTATTTGGATTTTAAAATAAACTTGTTAATACGCGTCCACCATGTAGTAAATACTTAATAGACAACACTTAATACCTAAGTAAATTACCTGATTCATTATGGCAACAGAAGGAAAGATAAACAAAATGATTAAGAAGCTATATACATACATATATATACGTACATATACCTATAATAAATAACAAATTCTGTGTTACTTAAAAAATATAAATAATATATTACATTATTGTATTGTATTGTAAATCTGTAATTTTAAAGTATTCATTTTAAAAGATAAAAATTATTGTTTTCCGTATGCATTATTTCAAACTTTGTAAATTATATTATTCAATATTACTATACCGCTGTAATGGAAAATCTTTAACAGTTTTATTTGAATTATTTGTCAATGGAATTAGCAATGAACCATTTTCGTACTCCTTGTCTAATTATAACATACCTGTTGCCAGATGAAAAATTTTGGACATTGAATCCAAAGAACCAGTAGCAATTCTGTTTTGCGTGGGAGAAAATTTTGCAACAACTACCTCGGCATCGTGACCCCGCATTGTGGTCAAGCAATGTCCTGTTTGGGAGCACCAAACCCTCGCGGTTTTATCGAACGAGCTGGTGACAATTTTGTCCCTAGAAAACAGACGTCCAGATTCCTTCGGTTTTTAAATTGGAACAATCTTTTTACAAACACAAATTTCATTCGTAAAAAATTCAAATTTAACTAAAACTGTCCTCTATGTATTACTATTATATAAACTCATTCGATAGTTCCCGGTGCGATTAGCGTTAAACGAAGGCACATACTTGAATGGTTCACTTGCCAAATTGATTAACTCCATAAAACAAAACGGGGAGAAAAGTTATGCAATAACTATACAATGATTTTCAACATTTCCCTTTAAATAGAAAATTAAATAGTCATTATAGAACGTATTTTCTTTCATTATTACAGGTCTATCTTTAATCTAAAGAATATGTAAAATATGTAAAATAGTATAACTCGGAAGTAATTTTTATTATTACAAGTTTTGCATAGGCAATAGAATTTTTGTCATTTCGCGGTATCACATCCAATAATAAGGAAACTTATATTTAATATGAGAAGTCAAGAGCCAATGAAGCGTTTTAATGATAAAATCTTAAGAAATTCAAAAAGTGAAGTTAATCGATAAGGCAAGTGAGCCATTCACATTTGTATAGATTCAATTACAAACTATTTTAACACTAGAACTACCGAGCAGTTAAGTTGACTTTTCAAAATGTTTCTATAGAAACCCCAAGGGTGCATCTATCGAGACTTTGATCACTCATAACTTAGTTTATGTGTTATTAAAACAATTTCTTTAGAAATATTTTAAAGAAGTGTGTATTATATTTTCAATAATTGTAAAAGAAGAATTTAGGAATGAGTGATTTTGACCCATCTAGTAGTTCTAGTGTTAAAAGAATCATAAATTTTGTGCAAGAAAAATGACCAAGCGAAAAAATGCATGGGGTGTATGAGAAACGCTGAATCCGCGTTTCCGGTCGACGACGACATAAATGAACAGTAAGGGCTATGGTTAAACGAGACATACGAAGCTGGGTTGTTGAAGGACACGGCGTAGACCACACTCTTATGGCCTTCGAGAGTAAGAAGCTCCGCTCCACTGTCGATGTCCCAAACTTTACACGTTCGGTCGTAGCTGCCTGTGAGGCATCTGTCAAACAATTTCATTTGTCATAGCAGGTCGCTCAATTCTTACTGAAGTGACATTCAAATTAAATAATTTCTTCAAATTCTTTCACATCTGTTTTCGCTTTGTAAAAACGGCTTACTGTAAATAAATGACACCTTGCTATTCGTTTAAAAAATATGAAAGATGAATTCAATAATTGTTATTCTTTACTCTCTTCTAAACATATTTATTAACGTTTCATATTTTATTATGAAATACTTTTGCGTTTTAATTTCGATAGTGAAAGCGAAATCGATTTTAAAGTTATGTATTCGTAATATTAGAATTATCTAATTCTTTCTATTTTTTCAATCTTTTGAATTTATTAGATTGTACTTAATGTTTAACAATCTGTTACAAAATTGTAACGTAAATAAAATAATGTAAACCTATTAAAATGTAAACGTAAATAAATATATTTATTACATATTTATAATTATATTTTCTAAGTTATCTAGAATCGAGTAACACCAAATATGCATTAAATAAGTGATTTCAATAAGAAGTAAATAATTCGTAAGTAATATTAATATTAAAAAGGATACTTTTTCATCTTCTTTACAAACTAAACACTCAAAAAGTATTCGTCACAGTAAAACCAAGTTTTTAAATTTTCACACTAGAATTAAGTCCGAAATTAAATAATTTAAATTAGACTGCAATCTAAAGAAAATACATAATATTAAGTAACTATTTGACTGTAACATTCATCAATTTGCTAAATGTATTATAACCATTCAACATTTAGCTATCTATTAATCAGTAAAAAGATTAGTCGAAACCTATTTACAGCATAAAAGGTAATCGTTTGTTCTACATGTCTTTTTAACTCTTTGCATTCGTATATCGTGCTGAAGCTGACAACATCAACTCACTCTAAAATACGTACGTCGTGTTGGAAATTATTTTAAAAAGTACCACACTTTAAAAGATTACAAAAATTAAATCTTATTATAATAATAATAAATAAAATAAATATAAAACGTTGAATTCTACACCTGTAAATTACTTTCATTCATTTACTTAAAAATAAAGTTTACATCCAATAACATTGAAAATAAATCGAGTGTAAAGGGTGAAATCCTTAAATTCATTGGTGTAAGTAGGTTTCAACAATCTATTTCTGAATTATCCTGCAGATATAGGAGGTAATAGTTGCAGACAACGTAGAGCGCAATTTAAACTTAGAACCGTACACGAACAATCTTAATCGGGAGTACCTTTTACCTAGTTTATCGAACGCGATGTTCGTAAGGGGCAGAAGATGGGTCTGCAAGGTTTTGTATTTGTAGTAGCGCTTCGTGTTTGTGTCACAAACTTTGGCTTGTAGCTTCTGCAGTGTCTCCACTAACTGCTCCATTACACTTTCGGTTATAACAGGCTCGTCCGCTTTTATGCTCTCCGCTAATGCCCTTATGTCCGTTCTGCAAAACGACACGTCCACCTTTGCCTCCGAGTAATTATACACACGCTCGTAGTTATTCAAGACTACTCAAATTTCACTGTCTCGAATTTCAACATTTGAGTTGAAATCAAATTCTTAGTATCCTAACTTGGGCTTGGATAAAACCCTTTTTTTAAAATAATGCTGTCGGTGAATGTCGTTATGTAAAATTGTTGAGGAAACTTCGATGACATAGAAGGTTCTGATTTTCATTGAACTTTGTATTCCTGTTTTTCTTTAATTCTGTCAGGTAAAATAAATTCTATCCAATTTTATAATTTGAAAGATATTAAGAAAAATATTGGTTAAAAAGTATACATAATAAAAGATTGAATTATTCAATTGTCCAATTAAGAAGATTGATTCGCCTGCATTTTCTGCATAGAATATTGAAAAAATGGAAATTTTCGATTGACAATCAATAGTTCATCAATAAATAAAGACCTTTGTGAAAAACACGAATAAAATTCGTATCAAACCAACATTCATCTTTACAAATACCAAAAATGTCTATTACTTAAAATACTCCTTTAATAAATAAAATATGAATACAAATTTAATTACAAACTATTTTTTCGCCCTGATCTATAAATCTCCCTGACTTCATAATCCTCAAAGAGATCAATATTTAAATGAAATATATGTAATCATTAACATGAACTTAATACAGTACCAAATTTTCAAAGTTTCAGAAGAATATTAACATCCACAGTAGCCTTAACCCACATCAATTAACCAATTAACTGCGTTTGATGAGTATGCATGTCATATTAAAGCTTGAAATGGTACTAATTCTTTCAATGATGAATTCTTTATTTTTTCATATAAACATGTAATTTTTCTTTGTTTTGCTTTGGTTTTTATTAAAACATACTCCAAGCGTATTCGTCCTGCGTTTGACAAGTATATACTTCACTTTTCAATTTTATTGCGCGCAAAACGAGAGATTTTTCAAACTAAATCTCACAGTTAACAGGTTAACCCTTTGCCCTATGATTTTTTCCCAACTATGCTTCATACAAGTACTTTCACGTTAATAACTTATTAGAAAAAAGAAAAATTTGGCACTTTTACTTTAAACGTTAACGATCGATAATAGAAAAGAAACATTAGTTTACAGTTAAGGAAAGTACATAACATTTAGATTCGTTAAATTTAGTTTAAAATTTTCATGACGAATCTAACATGATATCATAGCGCGAGGGGTTAATACAAAAAAAGCAATTCAAATCAATCGTTCACATTAACGATTAACACTAGCTTTACGAAACGCGTCAGTTTGACATTGAATTGAATTTTATAAATATTATTTTGTAACCATTTACATCGGTTTCGATTGATGCAATTACACGGATACGTATATCAAATTATCTATTATCAAACCCCCAATCTCCAAAATCTAAATAAACGAACATCAATGTTTCTAGGGACAATAAAATAAACAATAAATGCCCGAAAATCTAGTGTTAATTCAAACAACCTCACTAACAAATCCTATCACTAACGTTTCAATGAAAGAACATAATCTCGCCAACTAAAAAGTATGCATTGTAAAATTAAATTACTCGGCCGTCATGTCGAGGAGATCGATTATCTTCGTCTTGACGTCACCACCCTGCGTGTACTCCAAGGCGAGACCTGCGAACCGACAAGAAGAACATTTCCCTCATATCCTCGTGTTAATTGCTCCGAAAAAATTCGAATCGGTCCGCGTGATACCCGGCGGGAAGTAACGAAGCAAAAACTTCAGCAGCTTCATGTTCGATGGTCCAATTACAGCACGGAGTTCGGCGTGCTTCAAACGGTGTAACAGCGAGCGACGGACGATTGCTACCGGCAAGAGAGGCTTGTCCACCGAATTTAATTATAAAACGTAATCGTCGCGAACCGCGCGAATCCCGATTCGCAGAGGTTCGTTTTATCCGCTATCAGTACAGCGTGTCCCTCATCCGCCGGTCAATCGTGTTCAACTGGCAACCGCCTCTATCGTGTAATTACCGAAACAGCCAAATCAACGTGTCGCACGCGTTACCAAGGAACGCTTGGTCGATTCTCAACCCTTTTGCCTGGCTGAAATTCTCGTTTACATTGGACGCGCGCCTCGCGATGCTCGAATTAGTATTCTACATTGATCTTTTCGTGATTACCGATTTCTGGGAGCTAACACTAGACATACCGCGACCGATCGAATGACCAGTTTTAAACTTTGATTTAAAATTTTGTATTTTCTTTCGGCTATTTAACTTTCTATTAATTCTTATATTGTCCGATTAATCAGTTTAGCAGTTTTTGTTTTTCCTTTTGTTTAACACGTTGCATGCCACGGGGGTCACCGGTGATTTACTCAAATTACTATAGTCCACTCAATTAAACAATGATTATTTTAAAACATTTGTATATTATAAATTATGCTACGTAATGCCATGATATTCAGATAGATGAACGTGCAGTAATATTAATGCAATTCAATCAAATGATATAATATTATATTCTTTCCATTCTGTATATTTTGCTCTATTAAATCATGCGGAATTCAAAATGTTAAGTTTCTACTAAAAAAATTACTCATCCAACTTGTTTACCATCGTTTTATAACTAATTATTTAGCTGGTTAGGGTGGATATAGTTATATGTAAAGTGCTGATATATTTAGTATTAAAGTAAAAGCACCAATAGTTGACCCCTTAAAAATGTTCTGCGTGAATAATAAAAAACGCTTGCACCTTTATTAAATAGAATAATTCAAAGAAAGAATTTCTTTCTGCACCCCCTAGTTTCAGAGATGTTGTGAAAAATATACTTTCAACCTTGAATTTTAATGTACGAATGCACGGTAGCGGTGGCCATACATGCGGAATCAGCTGACACGCAGCGTTAACGTGTGCCGGCGCAAAGTTGGCCACTTCCAAACAACGCTATTGCTCCGAAAAGTGTTATAGTGTCAAAACTCATACCAGGCTATTGAACTTAATCAACGCTGTTCAATTCGATAGGAGTTTCTATAGTAGTCAGAGGTTAATCCGTTTTGAACTAATGTCGAGGTAGATTCGAGATATAATTGCATTTTAAGTACAACCCTAGTAGTTTTCATCGTTATGAATAAGTTAGTAAGGCGATATGTTGAGTAACAGTAGAAATGAATGACTTTTTTAACACTTCTAGAATGGAATATTTCTTCTTATTGTCCTAATTAATAGATAATTACAATGTCGTGAGAGCAAGCAATAAAATGCTATAACTGAAGTTGTTAGACAAATTATTAATTAATATTTACCATAAATATTAAATTAAATGTTAACCAATAATTTTATAAAATTCGTTTATATTTTATATTAATATTTGATAAAACCATATCAACATTATTAAATGATATTGTAAAATATATGAATATTAATATTAAATACAAGTATTTTATCAGCCTGTTTACATTTCACGCGGAAATAAATGAAATCATTTACGTTTTCTTATACGTCCCTATCAATTACCAAAAATCAATACATGAAATGAACATACAAATTAATACACCATCGGTTCAAGTTTGTTTCAACCACTTTCTACGAGCGTCAGTGAACATCAATCTCATTCGGTTTGCTTGGATCTGCTTTCATCCGCTA